GCGTCCACCGGGTGAGATGTAGCTGCCCAAATAAGAAAACTTGTCCACCTGCTCTATTGCTTCCTCGGTTAGAGTCATCACCATGATCATCGTACAGCGAAATACAGTGCAGCGAACTTCACTGATCGCTGCCAAACTCAATGCATACAAGGTTAGTGGTAAATATTAAGGGGGACAGAGATTGGACCTATCTTGAGGGAGGGAGAAGAAGGTGAACCTCTATGGTCAATACACAGAAAGTACACAATCGAACTCTGCATACATACCGTTTGAAGCGTTCTGACCTAATAAGAAACGATAACAAGAACGCCACTGCTGTCGGTTCGCTGCCATATCCTTCAATGTCTCCAACCAACCAGTTGCAGAGTCTTTCGGACCCCAACCTGGAAGGAGCGAGAGACAAGTACTCTATCTAGTGGCTCTGTGCATTAGTTCAGGTCCCGTGTCCACGTCATCTGTTGACCTCCACGTGGTTTTCTCCAGCCCGGATTAGCGAACAAAGCGCGGTGCGGCAGGCGACAGCTGGGCATACGCAATACGTGCGCTAACCAGCGAAGTTTACTAATCTGAATTCGCTGCGATAGCAGGTTTTTACCTGATGGACTCCCAAACACACGACGGCTTACCTCCACGTTACTTACCCGTTCGCTCCATCCAACTACGTAAACACCGATAGTCGAAAAATTCCAGTCGACGGATATCTTCTACTCGCAAATTCAGGGTCTCACAACCATAAAGCACGACTGATCGTACGCTAGCACTTTATACGCGGCCTTTCAACTTTAGTGAAACGTCGCGTCTACGCCAAAGCTGTTTCGGTCCTGCATATGCTGCTCGAGCCTTGGAAATGCGGGCGGTTATCTCCTTTGCTGCGCCACCGTCATTGGTCACGCAACTACCGAAGTAGGAAAAGTAATCCACCATAACTAAGTCCTGGCCATTTAGTTTCAGAGCGGGAGGGGGCGACACCCAGTCCTGCATCATCACTTTGTACTTTGAAGATGCAAAGCACATACCGAATGTGACTACTGCACTTGTTAGTCTATCAAGTGTGCTTTGGGCGTCCTCCATTCATTCGAACAGACAAACGATGTCCTCGGCGTACTTTAAATCGCACAGGTTAGCTCTCGCTGTCATTCAATATCTACACTTTGAAGTTCACTGTGTGCGTTCTCCAATATTTCGTCTACGACGAGATTGAACAGGAACAGCGAGAGAGAGCACCCTTGACGAACACCGCTGCTGTTGACGAATGGCCTACTTAGTTCATCATAGACCCTTACACGACCAGAGGTATGCGATTACAGTGACCTCAGTAAGTTAATGCACTTCTGGGGCATTCGTTTTCGAAGAAGAGAGCCCTTCAAAGTATCGCGATCAACTGAGTTGAAGGCTCCTTTCAGACCAAGGAACACTGCCATCGTCGGCCGACGGTGGGCGTGATGCATCTCAAGAATCTGACCGAACGTAAAAATTTGATCAATACATCCGCGGCCAGGCCGGAATCCGGCTTGCTGTTCACGGATTTTGGTCTCTTGAAGGTGTCAGACGTCGAAGTGTAATCGAAGCTAGCACTTTGGTGACGATCGGGACCAAACTGATCCCGCGGTTGTTTTTGCATTCGTTGCGGGATCCTTTNCTTTCCTGAAAACGAGAAAGATCAGTGACTCGCCCGAAGATTATGGAATATGTTCTTGTGTCCGAATGTTGTGCAGTATGGCAGTAATACTGGTTACGAGGTTATCACCGCCCCCCAATCTTGAAAGATTGTGAGGGAGCTCATCCGGTCCTGCTGCCTTCCCTCGCTTCAGAGCTTAGAAGCAAGACCAAACCTCTTCTTCTGCTGGAGGATCGCATGACACTGCTCACGAAGCTTCAGTTGCAGATGCAGCAGTCTGGTCAGCACTAGGCCAGGTGATTTGTTCGCTGAAGTATTCTGCCCAGCGACCGAGTCGTTGATGCCTATTGTAAATCGCTTGTCCCCTCTTATCGCAGACTGTTTCATCAACTGGAGTTCGTCAGAACAGTCTTTGACTATTCCCTTATGCAGCTGCTACTTTCATTTCACTAGCTATTATTACCCCACCAGTTCTCACGGTCCTTCTTGAGGCTCTTCGTGCGCTGACGTTGTAGATGCCGCTTAACTCTATTTTGATCCTGGCAGGTCGGGATTTGTCGTTTTTTCTCCATCAAAACTACTGACTCCTGAGATATCCAATNCTCACTAGCTCTGGTTCGTAGCGCACACGAACGGCTGGAATAAATAGTCGATGGTGAGCTGTACGAGTGAATCTGGGTGCTAGACCAACCCAATCTTGTAGTAACATTTTACACGTTGAAGGTGCAAAGCGCATACTCTGGGACTTAAGCTATTCAAGATTGCTTGCGACTTGCGTGGGTCTTCTCTTAGCAGCTCGATATCGTCTTCACACCCCAGATCAGACAGTATGTCATCTTGGAGTAAATCAATGCCACTATCCTTGCACGAGGATAGAGCTGTCTCAATAATGAAATCTATAACAAAAAATAAGGAGAAAAGGATAGAAAGGAAAACCCTGATGAGACCGCACCTTAATGTGGTGTGATGGCTTGCGTGTCTCCATGACCCTGGCTTTTCACATCCGTAGATCATGCCTGAAAGGTCAGTGGGTAGAGGCCAGACGAAGCTCAGTCTCAAAAAGCCAGCTGCTTAGACACCTGGCTTTCTTCGTCTATCCACACCCACCCCTGAAGAGGTCACCCCAGCAAGTAAACACGGTGAGGGGCATTTTACCGGACAAAAAACAATCCACCAATTGGACGTAGGAGTGAAGTACCTGGGGCTTTCTCTAGACGGGGTAAGGAATCTTCGCGCTTCATTGGACAGCTGCCGCCTGCCCAATCTGGACAGCCCCCATCCACTAAGGTTCTGTCCCGTCAGCGTTCCGCTTGTCTCATTGGGTGCATGAGACTAAGGGTCAATCCCGAAAAGCGGACCGTACCAGCGAACAAACACAACCGAAACCCGAAGGCCTTATATGACAGGCCTGCAGCATCTTCCACACGGGTGCTTCGGTTACTCTCCTGCGTTGGATCTACGTTCCACTGCCTTGTGAGTCAAACTTTTGAGTCCAATTTTCCGGTTGGGTTTACGAAAGAAAAACCCCTTCGTCGGTGTGAGTTGCCGCGAAGTTTATCGTGCCCTATAGTCTTAAGCACCCATTTGGAAAAAGCGCCTTCTCATTTAGTTCTTTCTCTCAATTTCGAATAATCCCAAATGCCCATATGTTTACGAAACCCTTATATGCAACCAAACGAGGTGCACTAAAGCTGCAATGACACATATGAAGGAATCACCCGCAATGTTGAAAAGAAAGGATAATCCTGTAAGGTCCCGTTAGCTTTCCTCTCTTTGACGCATGAATTCATGTTCGCACTTTGTGTTTCAACGATTGTGTCGATATCACTGGCTTGCTTCAGACCTTACAGTCCAAGGTTCAAACCCCTCTGCCACCCACCTTTGGTGACAAGCCACTTTTCCGTCGTCCAGTTCAATACCACGCCTAACTTCGCGGGACATTATGTGTTTCTGCACTCCAAGTCCCGGAGCTTAGATTGCTGGTTTCCATCACAGAACAGCAGATATTCGCGAATATGGGGTTTATTCCGTCTGCTGTTCATCACATATGGGTCATAAAAATCTTCTAGTTCTGTTGGGGCTCAAAACACCGATGGACCGGGCACCGGCTCTCGATAAATTGTGAACTGTGCGCTCCTTCCTACTGCCTTGCCGGTCCGATATTTTAATTAAAGGCTTCATGCGTGAACCGGAAGGTTCACTGTTTTCTGTGGCGTGAGCGACCAGTGGACAGCACGCTCGCTGCTGACGGACAAACTGTAGATCTTGGCGCGTTTCCACTTTACGTCTAATTGATATTGGTAATCACATACTAATATATATATATATATACACATATATATATATATGTGTGTGCCTGTAATTTACTTCTCAGTAATGTAAATCTTGAAAACGGTGATGTAAAGCTGCCTATCTG